AGAATTAACTTGCTTGGATATAGATGATAATGAAATAGAATTTTCAGGTGCCCTTTCGATCGTTGAAAATCTGAAAAATTTATCTCGATTAAGATTTTGGGAAAATAACCTTGAAGGTTATGTCATGATCAGGGAGTATTTGTATTCGAAATCACCATATACACATTCGTCATCATCATCATATTCCTCAAAGTCATGGAATGGATCATCGTAGTCTTCTTCGTCGTCATCATCCACTACGGCAACATCTGAAGCACCTTCTGCATAGTCAGAAGAACCTGGTGAAGAGTATGAGGCATCACTCCGTACCAATCTCTCAACATTTTGTTGAATGAGAGGTGAACGCTGAGTGCTTCCATTCGAACGATGCACAATGGTGGCTACTGTTGGAGAGTAGCAGGACGAAGAGGTGGAGAACTCGTTGTCATAGTCACGAGAGTCATACAAACTCGAAATGTTGATGTTGGCCATTCTTTTTTCTTGTGTGTGATCAATTTTTGCTGATATGGAACACTTTTGGGTGTTGATATCGGAGGTGTCGTTTGGAGGAGGAAGAGTCTCTTGCCTTACTGGATAACAGCGGGAGGCATTTGCTGCCACTTGTTGGTCTGGAATGCCACAACTTGTTGAAGTTGACTGAGAAATTGCCCTAAAGTGTTGATCAAGTTGTGAAAAGTCAAATGTCTCACTTGGATTCTCAGCATTGCTTCGAAAGATGGCTCTGGATCGTCGTTTGTCAAACATGGATTTTTTCTTTTCTTCTGGATCTAGTTCAACAATTGTTGAGTTGTGTCAGTCGCTTCTCCTCTTGTTTCAACAGTTCAATGATCGTGTTGCTTCTACCAATGGGAATGTTCTTTTTGCTATTTGGAGTGGACAAATTGTTGTTTGTTGGGGATTCCGTGTTCTTAGTGTTGTTGTTGTTGTGGTTATTCTTGTGGTTGTTGGTAGTAGTCGTAGTCGTGTTGTTATTGTTATTGGAGAGGTCCTCATTGGAGCTTGTTGTGTTCTTTGAGAATGAGCAAGAGTTGGATGGAGCAAAATGTTGCTGGGATGAAAGATGGAAGTGTTGTTGTTGTTGTTGAGGAAGGCATTGGAGAGATGGGAAAATTGATGAACATACACTTGGAAAAGCTTAATGGAGATTTTGGAAATTCAAATATTTCATAAATCCACTTGATTCTGGGATAACCTTGCATAGATGCAAGGTTATTCAATAAGACAAGGAAACAAGTGTTCCTGAATGAGACCTTTAATACATTCAAGTCAATGGATTCAAAATGAGCGCAATGGGTTGAATGGGCATTGCTACCGAACCAAATCCTGTAAAATCAGAGGCAAATAATTGAGGTGTCTCCACTTGATAATTCGATAATAATTCCATAAGGAACAGCTTACTGGAAAGCATGGTGAAATTTGATCCTGAAAATCCTTCCAATCCAATAAACGCATGTTCTTCATCCTTCAAACGATGTAAATCTCCAACTTCACCCAAATTGAAACGATCTGGTCTGTAGGTATTTGCATCGTAGGGATAAAAGTTCTCATCACGATGCACAAAGAAGGGTGACACGCTCACCAAGTGATTGGCAGGAATGGTCAGATTATGATAATTCATACTCTCTCGAGTTTGTTTGGTAAAAAGTCTCATGGAATAAATTCGAGCAGCTTCTTTCAGACACGAGTCGAGTAATTTCAGAGGATCCTCACAGGCATTCGATTGTAAAATGCATTCCACCAAACGAAGGTTATAATTACTGCTCATACTGCTTTCAATTCCACCAATGCCAACACCACTACTAGTAGTACTCATGGAAGAACCACTCACATTCATCCTCTGATCGGTCGAAGCAAATGTATGGACATGAGTAGGAGAGGGAGGAAAGGTGGTGGACATGGTCTCTGCAGGTGTGGATTGAACAGGTGGTAAGACAGAACTATTGTTGTTGTTATTTCCTGGAGACAACAATGTCAATGAGGGTCTTCTTTTAGCTAAATTCGATTTTGGAGTTGTCATGGTGTTTTCACTTTGTGTTACATTGGAATTCGAAGGTCCATCAGAACTTTGTGGAGTATCCAAATTGCCTCCAGTGGGAGGATTTGCCAATACAGGAACAGGTCTTGGTGCAAATCGATATCGTGTGGAAGGTGGTGGTTGACTAGAGCCGACCACACGTAACATATCCTCCGTAGAGCTCACTGTACTCCACACAGTAGGAGGAACCGGTGACGATGGAATGGACAAGGAGGGAATACTATCCGGTGGGTTTGTATCAGTGGAGGTGTGATGCGATTGAGTTTCATCAGCTGCTGTTGCTTCGCCACCATCTTCGATCAGACTTTGTTTTCGAAGTTCTTCCACATCCTCTTCTCTTAAGCCACCACCACCACCGCTGCCACTGGTCACACTGGTATCCGTAATGGTGCTCAGCGCTTCTGAATTTTCATTGATGTTGCTGTCAACAGTCATGTCAAGATCTTCTCCAGAAAGATTCATTGCAGGTTGTGTGAAAGCACTTGCTTCTAAATGGTGTGGTGAAGAAGTAACCGTTGAAGGTGAAAGGTGTGGTAATAAGGGTCTGGCAGTGCATGTGGCTTCACTCCACATGGATCTAATGAAACTGCTCGATTCCTTTTCCAACTTTTCCTTAAAGAGATTTACTTCCATTCGTAGACGATCTTGTAGAGCGGTGTCACTTGCCACATGCGCAATGGCCCATCCTAAGGCAGCAACACTCGCGAGTGATTCTACTAACAAGCAAATGATATGATTGGCATAGATGGAAGTGGTTCTGTGAAGTCCACCATATTTGTCAGTTCCATTTTTTTCCAAAATGAAATCAATGTAACAAGAATGGAGATTGGTCATGTCTTCCTTTGTGCGTTGAGAGGTTGACTGGGAGGCTGGAAGAGATTGTTGTGAAAAGGCTTGATTGTGTTGTTGTGTAAAAGGAACTTCTTCAAGATTTTCATATTCCATCATTTTCACACGTCTCTCAATTTCATTACAAATCAAGTAATGAACTCTCTTCTTCTTGGTCTCGATTTGCTCAATAAGACTGGGCATCCACAGATACTCCAACACATTCGATCTCAAATGGTTGTAATACAGAGTAACAAATGGATTATGAATTTGACATTCCAGAAAGACAATACTCTCTGTCACTTCATCACCGTGTCTCTTGACAAATGAAGAACCCAACATACTTCTCATCAAACTTCTCACCACAAACTTGGACATTTGTGAAAATAGATCATTCACAACCACCACTTCATTCGCTTGTGCGCCTGTAGAAGAGCTTCCAGAAAAGACAGAATCCGAATGTTTGTGTAAAATTTTGGGAGTTGGCAATTCCATCTCGGCAATGGCAGGTTTCTCATTGCGATCCACAAATTTCAAATTAATGTGTTGCTGATGGAAGAGAATGCTTCTCACCTCTCGCTTAATGTTTTCTAAATATTTCACAAGAGTTCTCTTGTTTGAGAAGCCCTCTCGCATGAATGATTTTGATTTGTAAAGCCAATCTTGATTCCAAATCTCTTCACGACTTCGAGAGGGTGTTGTCGGTGGCATTGAAGATTGTGTAGAAGCTGAAGCATTGGAAGAATTGGTGGCATTGACAGTCTCAATTTTAAACGAAGTTTTTGAAGCAGTGGTGCTCATGGAAGGAGTAGCACTGTTTACCATCAATGGCTTGTAGAAGTACTCTCTCGCAGATTGCTCATCCAACACTTGAGGTTTAGCATCAAAGAAATACTTGTTGGCTCCTTCTCCAACCATAAATGTCCATTCCTTAAAATAGGAACTAATGGTGAAAACGGGACCATATAATTCAGAGGCCTTCTCCAAGAACAAGATGGGATCTTCACACCATTGAATCCAAACACTCAAGTACGGAATGGAAGGTAAATTTCTCCAAAGCCATCCTAAAAGACCTTTTTTCGTTGCCATTTTGTTGTTGGCGTGGGAATTGTGAAGGTAATGAGCAGCTTGACGAGTGGCAGCCAATAATGTACTGTTCTTTTTTCTGATCATCTAATAATTCTTGCAAGGGAAAAACAATTCGGTGGGGTGTCTTGCCACCTGGATGTAATCTCTTTTGTTCGTCATCACTCACGAACACACACTTCTTGTGAGGACGTTTTTGAAAATATGTCATGTAGCGATCTTTGTGATAGTGATGAAGAATGGCAATCGTGACCAAGACGAGTATGAGTGCGACGAATACACCGGCAAGGTTGAGAAGATAATTTTCAAAGTACATGTTGAAGTCTATTAAATAATTTAAATTTTAAGTTTGTTGAATGTTGATGAATGTTAATTACGCCGTGTATTTTTGATCATCAAGTTGAAGAAACGATACAATGATGGAAGCCTGGTTGTTTTCTTGAATGCTGTTTGCGTATTTTAAATCAAGTTAGCCGTAATAACAAAACCTCATTGTTTGCCTTAAATGGAAAATAAATAAATTAAATCTTGTCTGACTTGACATCTCCCTTTGTCAACATTCCAAATAAGCCACACTGTTAGCCATATTTTGTCAAAGAATTCTTGATCTTGCTCTGGTCATAAAACGGAAGAAACCCCACCAAAACAACAAGCAGGTTTCTTCTTTGTTGCATTGAATCAATACTCGCTCACTCTCAAAATAAGCAAAGAGTATTCCCACCAATAACTTGAAATGTTAATAATATCCAGGTCAGGAATCAATCCATACACGATCTACACCAATCTCACAATGTGAAATCGTTCGACACCTGACAACGATTCAGTGTTAAACCCTACTCCATTTGTGGAGCGTTGAGAGGACCAATATTCAAATGTTATTTCATCTTCCTTGAGGCCCATAAAGATCACGCTATGACCTGTACCATTCACTCTCCAAAATTGTACAAAGTCGCCTTGCTTTGCTTCGAAAATGTTATTCACATGTTTGCCGAGACCTCGTGACATTAATGCCTTATAGCAACCTTCTTTATAGGAGTCATCGTCTTTTGCTGCATTGTCTTGTTTTTCACAAAACCAATCCCTCTTGATTTTTAGCAATTCTTGAATGTTGAAAAGTCCTGCAGCCTGGGATGTCTCTTCTCTGTGAATACTCGAAAGAATATTTCAAAGGTAACGCCACAACAAAACGTCGAAGGTATGCTAAGAACTGGATTCATTGACGAAGACTGAAGTCCGCTCTCTGTTGCAGCTTTCATTATGCTCGAATCAGTAACACTCAAAGCACCAAAACTACCTGTTTGAGCAATACTGCTTAATAGGGAGGACGGATGCAAAAAGAATTGAGGCATGATCATGGAATGAAGATTTTCAGGCCTTTGTTGTTGCTTTTTAACAAGTCCATTTTCATTTCCTTCTTTTTCTCTGCAATGAGTTTTTGCCTTTCAGAGTGGAGCTGAAACTTGGCAACAGCAGTATCTCGTTCGAGTGACATAACTCTCTGTCCACTTGTTGGTGTCGTAAAATTAAATCTCTTGCAAATCCATAATTCGTGCATCCACAAATGCAACAATGCAACTGAGAACGGTCACACAAACATTGTACAATAGGTGGCAACAAACAAAGAAACTCTTCAAAATCCATCAAGAGACGATTCAATTCAGTCTTCAATTGGGCTTCTATTGGTAGATCCGTTCGATCGTGGTTGCAGTCATCACTACAAGAATTATCGTGGGATGGAAGAGCCAAGTTCAAAATGTCAGAAAATTCTCTCTCAATGGCTTTCCAATCGTCGACTGAGGTGAATAGGGGTTTCACGATGCATTCAGGTTTTTGACACCATTGTCAAATACACTACTCGTGATGGGCAAATTCATCCTCAATGATTCTGCTTCTTCGAGTCGAGCCAATTCTGAAATGGTGGCTATGAGTCGCGACGTATGAGGCTTACGGAGTGAGATTTGAGGGAGGTAGGTCTGTAGAGCATTCCATAGACGTTGTTGTTGTTGTTGTTGATGATGATGGGACTGTTGCTCAACATTATCATGGGGAGAGGATGAAAGACTTGTGGACGAACTGTTCGTGATGATGAACGAAGATAGTATTGAGCTGGTATTAGAGGAGGAAGTAGGAGTGGAATTGCAACTGCTCATGGAGGAAGAAGAAGTCAAGGAGGATAGTAATGGAGAGGTCGGAAAGGAAGGTACAGACGAGGAGAGGCTCTGATGATGAGGACTCTTGGATGTTGGCTTGACCCATCCATATCCGAGAGAACCATCTCGTGGATAGGAAGAAAGGAGTTGAACAATGCTCTCATTCCAGTCTGTTGTTGTAGTTGTTGTTGTGTGTGATGCTGCTGCTTGTCCATTCATCTCATCATCAAGGAGTATCATCGCCATAGTTTTAAATTGTGGTTCTTCTTGTTGTGCAACTTCATGGAGGAGTTCAATTACTGCTGCTGCTTGTTCGTCGATTGAATTATGATGAACAACTACCATACAGCAGCTGCTATTCATAAGGTCGGTCGTGAAATGGTTCAACTCGGGATGATAAGAATCTTGTTGGTGCTTTTTCTTTTCAATCCTCTTTCCAATTTCGAGAATCGTGGCGTTGCTGCTCTTGTTCGTCAGTTCATCAGGGTCGACACTGGTTGGAAATGATGAAGATGGTGGTTCTGACATGTTCTTCCTTTTCATCATAGTTTTGACATGTCGCGGGTCTTCAGGTAGGGCAAGATCCGTTCCGCCTATTCATCTCAATCATCATGATGGTTGTTTGATTCTGAAACAGAATGCGCATATTCGCACCTATCTACTCACCATTGTTCTCCATTCTTACATCTCCATAGAGAAGTGTCATGACCATCATCATGATGAGGGTTTAATTGCTTTCTTTCTTTGTGTGAGCACAGAATGCCATTGATAATGTCACCATACAAAATCGGGTCATGTCGTGAGTGTGCTACAGAGGAGGTCATTTCGAGAGGGATTTTAATGGAGGTGACACGCGAAACTGCACCTCATGTTCGAGAAACACTCTTTCGATTAAGACCCGAGAAAATCAAGGATTATCGATTCATGAGCGGGTGATGCATAAATAAACACGTTACATATTTGTGCGTATGTTTCCAACTCAATTTTCATGAAAATGTAACAACACTTGCTGCTTCATGTTGGCTCCCTCAAGGATACAATATTTGAGGCTCCAAGATCCATTCATGTTCGTCTTGTAACACAAGTGATGATTCGTGTACGGCGGCAACAATACTTGCTTCTGAGGTTACACGACCATGCTCTGAAGACAGTTCTGTGTGTTGTTGTTGAAGGGTTGTTCCTTTTCGATAATATTTCACTCGGTGTGCCAAACGATGATTCCCACTCTCCCAAAATTCAATCGAGTGTGCTCTCACTCTGTATTTGATAAAAGGAAATCATATTCATCCAGACGTGCAGTTAGAAACAACAAAGAGGTTGATCAATATATATTGGAAATGATTTGGAACACACACAAATAATTGCATTCGAATTTGATTCATCGTCAACAAAACAAGCACACCGAAGGCAAATTTCCAACAATAACACAATGTTGACAATTTTCGCTATTCATAAATCAAACCTTAACAAACACATACCTTATTCCACCCCAATGAGAAGGTCTTTTCGCATATTGTTCGCCCTCTTGTTGAGCTTTTTCAAATTCTTCCAAGAGTTGTTTCCTTCCTCTTTCAATCACTCGTGACTGCTTGCTTACACTCGAAGCAATTCTCGACTCTAAAGGCCTCGAATTGAAAAATTCATCCGATTCTTCTTCGGAACATATGGAACCAATTCCTTCGATTCTTACTTGTCTTGATCTTCCATTGAGAGCAATAGAAACATGATCCTGTGCCGATAATGATGAAAAAGATGATGAAATTTTAACTGCATCATCGGACTCTTCTATCGAATCGAGTTTTTCATCCACAATATGTGAGGAGCTCTTGTTGTTGTCGATTGATTTCGATTGTTCATTTGACACATAATTCCAATAGAAATTGAGAGCGATTTTGCCATCATTGTTCAACATTTCTGTTGCTTTCCGAGATTGAAAATTGGTGCAAAATATAAACTCTCCTCTCTCCACATGGAAGGATTTTAAAAAGACATTCCGAGTGGAGGGTTGCATGGTTTGTGGATCCACAGTGGCCACTGTCATGGTTGCAGGATCGGGAGGAAGTTGAAAGATTGAAGGAATTCCATTGCTGTGTGTGGTGTTGGATCTTGCGATTGAACAGCTTTGCTGTAAGAACTGAATCATTTGTTGATGAGTGGTCTGTGCTTGGGAATACCATTCCGAAAAGATGATCATTGGATTAAACGGCTGTGAGAATTCAATGCAAGAAGAGGATTGTGTGTGAGACATTTTTTCAAGCCACCACTCGTGATCACTGAGCCCGCGCGTGAGACTCCTTCTTGAACTACGATGCTTTTTAAGGGTCATTCTCACAAGATGGATGAGAGGGGGGTGCACAGGTTGCAACCCTACGTTAGAATCCTAAACCATAGTGACAGAGACTCAGTGTACATTGGACTTCCTCAAGTTCTTTCCTTATTGTTATTGGCCAACGCCTCTTGCTTGGGCAAGAAGAAACGGTTGCAATCTAATTTTAATACCTCGACCACGCTGTCATCAAAAGATTGATCAAATTTTAAAAAAAACAATTTATGCCCTCACCATCCTCGTCATCGTCACAACTCTCGAAAAGCAACAACGCAATGTTTGACGATGAGACTCTCAGAAAAGCGGACAAGTTTAAACTCGTAGTACTCGGAGAAAGCTCGGTAGGTAAGTGTGTGATCATCACACATGATGTTCTCGGAATGATGTCCATGACTTTAAAATCATCCTATGATCCAATGATATGATATTGGAATCAAACATCACGTTCCGGTTGACCATGTTCCATCTGAAATAACCCATTCATGAATGAACAATCATGATTGAAAAAGGCAAAACAAGTCTTGTGATTCGGCTTGACAAGAATTGCTTTTTTCAATATCAAGAAAGTACCATTGGAGCAGCCTTTTCGACACAATTCATAACAGTTGGAGATCGAGTGATTAAATTTGAAGTTTGGGATACGTATGTAATCATTATTATTATTATTGTTGATAACAACCCATTGAATGATCATTTCACAACATGTTCATCAATATTGAACATGATCATCATTATTTATGAATTGCTTTCTACACAAATGTCATCATTAATTCCATTTTACTTTAATTTGACATTTGATTACAATGAAATTTCAAATAATGATCATGGTGACAAAATATTCAAAAATCCAACTTTCACACAGAGCCGGACAAGAACGATACAAATCTCTCGCTCCCATGTACTATAGAGGTTCTGAATGTGCCATCGTTGTCTACGACATTACGAACATGGAGTCTTTCCACAGAGCCAAATACTGGGTTAAGGAATTACAACGACAAAGTCAAACAAATATGGTCATTGCCCTTGCAGGTAATAAACTCGACCTACAAGATGAGAAACGACAAGTGGATCATTCCTTTGCTCAAGCCTATGCCGAAGATAATGGACTGATCTTTATGGAAACATCGGCCAAAGAGAATATCAATGTGAGGGAAGTGTTTGAAACATTGGCTCGGAAGATGCCCCTCCGAGAGGATACACGAGTGGGAGAGGAAGACACGGAAGAGGAGGATCATCCTTCTTCGTCCAATGGTGGTGGATTGGTGGTGCGACGAAGTGGAAAAACACTCACAAGACCTCCTTCGGTGAGGTCCTCCAAACGAATCACTTGTTGTGGAGGTGCAAGTCAATAATGTTCGAGACAAAGAGTGAATTTGAAGAAGAAGGATCACACACTCCTTAACCTCTTCATGTTTGACTCTTCCCTAATCATTATTGCATCACCCGTGTACAAATATGTTGTGTTTAAGAGCGCGAGCATTTAAAAGTAGTGAACGCGATGAGAACAAACCCCATTCACACCCACACATAACTTTTGTACTTGGAGAAATTTCTGCATGCAGAATTCCTTGCATGATCAACTAACAAATTAAATTTCATGACAACAACAACAACGAAAGGACAATTAGAGTCTCTTTTTCGACTTGTATTAGTAATGACTGCAGTTATGGGGATTTCTCAAATTGCAAATTTCACAATTCAAAAAAATGATGAAAATGCTCAAGCAAGGAATATTGTTCTTTCGAAGCAGTTGCTCTCGGAATGACCGTTCTGTGTCTTTAATCATTGAACGAATCATGGGTAAAAATCGACACCAAATGGTGAAGAATATATCATCCTCTCATTTAGCTCTGACGACAAGAAGATTTCGTGTCGGAAATTTAAATTCGGATGTGAATATTTCGTTGTGTAGAAATTATGGCACCGCATGTCTAAATTTTAGAGAGAACTCTTGCACCACAGATTCTTCAATGGAACTATCAAATCAATCATCACAATGGTTCGAAAAATCATTTCCTGTGCAAAATATTGAAGGAACCCGAACATTGGCAGAAAAATTTTCAAAATTACTACAAAACACTGATGTCGTTTTGTTGACAGGAGATATGGGAAGTGGAAAGAGTGTTTTTGCAAGGCATGTCATTCGAGTGTTGGAAAAGGATATGAATTTAAATGTACCCTCTCCAACTTTTTGTTGGATAATCTTTATGAAAATAAGCTCAGTGGAAATTTTGAGTAGGTATATTATATATATATTGAGAAAATAATTTCACACGAGTGTTGTTGTTTTTATTCAATACTTTCAACATCTTAATTGTAATTATAATCATCTTTCGTCCAATAATTCTAAATGATATACACTTTTCTCTATACCCATTCAATCATTTATTTATGAAAAACTAATCCACTCTATATTTTGACAAATATAGAACAATACACCATATTGATCTATATCGATTGGATAGATTTGATAGATTAGATTTGCTTCATGTTTTCACAAATGGAATTTCACTTATTGAGTGGGGAAATCGTTTGCTTGAGGATAACGACTTGATGAAACAACCTCATCACTCCTACATACGAGAGGTCTTATTGGACTCTTCCAAGTGTCACTTGTTGATCATTCTTTTCGAAAATGTTGCAACATCTAGTGAACATGATGGTGAGACTAGTTCCAACCTTACATTCAATGAGGAACATGAGGCGAGATCTATTACTTTTCTTTCAAGTGATTTGACATGGAAAGAAAGACTTTCAAACATGTTTTAAAGTCTCGCGCAGCTTCACGGCTGACTATTTTTGCTGCTCCAGCTCATTAAGCCTGGCTTCTAACAAATCACATCTCTGTTTAAATTTGTCTGCCTTCCTTTGCATCATTTTTCTCTCCTGTATGAATGTATCATTGAGAGATTGCAACTGCATCATATGGTTAAATTGTAGCTCCTTGATTTTTTCATTCATGGATTTGAGTTTCTCCTCATAATCCTTTCTGATCAAGACAATTTCCTGCTGAGAATCACTTTCTACTTGCTCTTGTTTAATGAGACGTTGATTCTCTCTTTGCATGACTTTGAGCTGTTCTTTAAGGTTTTCATTTTGCTTTTGGTTGATACCGAGCTCTATGGAAAGAATTTGATACTCCTTGACCAACTCTTCATACTGAAATTCCTTTTGCATGGCGATTTTTTCTGCCATCTCCAGCTTGTATTGGAGTTTTTGGTATCATTTTTCAATGTGAATTCTTGCGTGAGGCGCTTGTGTGATTCTTGCATTTCACGAAGAGCCTCCATTGCATTTGCATAGAGAGACTCATTTTTGGAAGATGACTCCTTCACATGATTACATTCTTCCAGCATGTCTTTGTAATCCTTTTCGAGTTGTGTGTTATATTTGAGAAGATTGGAATACTTCTCCTGTAGGTCATCCTCCTTCCTTGTGAGTTCGTTTTCTTTTCTCAGTTGCTCTATTTCCTTCTCCTTTCTACCAATGTGCTCCTCCAATTGCTGAATGCGTTCCATTCCTTGCCTTAATTGAAGATTCAAGTCATTCACTGTCTCATGCAATGCACCTTGTTGAGCATTTAATTTCTCTGTGAGTGATGATTTTTCAGTTGACATGTATGCAATACTTTGTTTAAGATTCTCAATTTGTGAATTGAGATTCGAAATTGTAGACTCGTATTTCAAGGTTGATGCTTTTAGCTTTTCCTCAAGAGCAGTTTTTTCCAAGGCTGTTTGATATAATTTTTCTGTGAGATTGGAAACGCTTGTACTCAAGCTCGATTTTTCTTCTTCCAATTCAATCTTTTGTTTTTCCAACAATTCCTTTTCATTGGAGGTATCATTCCATTCAACGAACGTTGATCCTGTCAGGAGCGAATCTGAATTTGATTTTTTGTGAGTGACATCACTCGTTTGAGTTTCTTTTTGAAAAGTTTGAACCTTGGAATTTCTAGATTGTTCAACAACATCCATAATTCTATCAGCCACTTCGATGAATTTTTGCAACTTTGAAGAAACTCAAACATTATTAACTTTGAATCGTTTCGAAACGGGAATTAACTTGACAAAATGTTAGTCAAGGCGAAGTCTGAACCAAATCATATCATTCATATCAACTTACCCGATCAGTTTTCTGAAGAAGATGATGTTGCAATTCGACAATTTTCTCAACAAGCATTTCCAACAGATAATATCTTGTTTTGAACGAGTCATGATGGAAAATACATTGTGATACATTGGAAAAATCATCCAAGCTCAAACGTTGACCTCTCTCGTCTGCCTTATATTCATACAGTTTTTTATGAAGAACCGCCAAATCCTTTTTCATGAGAGAAATGAATTGGAGTGTGTCTTCATCAAGTACTGTTGCTTCTTGATCTAGAACGAGATTCATGCTTTCTGTAGAGTTGAAGTCCTCACTATTCCTTCCACTCGAGGGAGTTGAATCATCTCGACTCGCTCGGCTTGTTGCTCGTGAGGATTGATTACTACGAGAACTTCCATTACGATACACAACACTGTAAGAGCATGTATTGTTTGCATTGGTGGTATTATTCATGGAGGAGGAGGATGAGGTGGTATTTCCATTGCTTGTACGCTTGTTTCGCGCCGAGGAAGCTGCAGCTGTGCTTGTACTAAGGCGTTTGGATGAAGTAATTGCAGGAAGTGACACACTGCATCGTTGTTGAGAGTCTTTGTGCAAATCTTGACTACTGCCTGAGCTCCTAAATATTGCCTGCCCGTAGTTACGTTTATTCGAGTTGTTGTTGTTGTTGTTGGTGTTGTTATTATGGTTGCTCGGAGTTGTTGTTGTGGAGGCGGATTTGATGGTCATCATGCTGGATGATCATGTTCTATGATTGATTTTCAACAATACCTGTTGTTCGATAATGATGAAGAGAATGAGAATGGTTGAAGAAAAAGTTTCTTTCAACAATGATGATTCTTGATGTTGTTGATGATGGTTTACGAAAGACAATGCGTGATGGTCTTTCTAGTGCCTCAATATTTTTTTTAGTTTTCGGAGATATACCTCAATAGTTCGAAGTTTGGATCTTAATGGTGTCTCTTCGGAATTATCATGGGTCCAATTCAAATATGTACTGTGAATATTATTTACTGGAAGGAATGATGACTACACATAGTGACATCATGTTGAACGCGTAATGTCGTGTGCATACACGTACACAGCATTTACTCCACTTTCTGTAGTGAAAGGCCCTCTTCGTGTGGAGCGCGAGAGTATTGATTTTTACCTTCATTCTTAGTGTCTTCATGAGATTCAGAAGTGAAAGGTGCTTCTTCCTCAATTTCTCCAAAATTTTCATCAACCTCTTCCTCATCGTCCTTAGAAGGAGTATCTGTACCACAAGAATTCGAGGAAATGAAACCTTCAACATATTGTGGAACCCCACTGTAGGCATTAAGCAGCATTTGTTCCTCTGCCTCTAAAAATACAGTGGAAGCAATTCTTCGGGCTTCCTCAATGGTTTTTTCTTCTCCTCAGCATATCCAAAAACTTTTCATATATTTCTTGATCTTCAGGATCCTCAATATCTTGAGCAGGATCAATTTTGTGGTCCTTACTGTGACATGATAATGCATCCATGGATGTTTTCATCATGGCCAAGTGTTATTTCATCAAGAGTTCCAACCATTGGATGTCCTTGTTGTGACATGACATTAAGGAATTGCACAAACTTACTTTAAATCTAGTTTGCTTCCTTTTGATGTATATTCTCGTGCTGAATGTGGTTGTTTGCTTGGAGAAGAACCTGACGCATGTCGAACTTCTTTCAGAGGAGCCAATGATTTGATCTTCTTTGGAGGGCTCACCCGTGCAATATTGAAATTCTTTGAATATTTGTATGACCACGGTAAATCATTGTCAACCCTCTTTTTCATGGACATCATATTTACTGTGTGATTTTTCTTAATCTGATTAATCATTATACTTCCTCCAACGTTTGCTGTATTTGCATCAATGGTTCCCAGTTTGTTTTGGTAGCCCCGACACACTACATGTTGTAATTTCCGAAACACAGAGTATTTGAAATTATGAACGTATTATTATTTTCCAAAGAATGATTCATTGAAAGACAACGTTTGGTATTGAAAAAACGCATCATCATGATGGTCATCATCATCATCATTTCGTTCAAATGACTCCTTTTTACCCACCTTTGACATCCGTAAATTCCATTCCCTTTTTTCTCGACTTGACATGATTCATTGAGGAGAGCGAAGAAAGCGTATTCCCCGATGATGATCCACCTTGTGGAGCTCCCATGTGGGCTGTGGTTGCCATTTCAATTGATTGAATTAATATTCGACGATGATGACAAGTATGAGAGAACTACTACGTGTGAGCGCTATTTCTTTTTAATATTTACGGTTTTTCGGTTATGAAAAAGGCTTTGAAAAAAATACAGCAACTATTAATTTGCTTGGGCCTTCACTTTGCTTTTTTATTAATGGATTGAGCAGGGAGAGAGAAACTGAATGTTGATGTGAGGTGATGTGAGGAAAGTCATGTTTGGAAGTTGAGAGTTCTGAAACTGCAGGGGAGATGCTCAGGTTCATTCTTGTTCCATTACCAAAGAGAATAATTTGCCTTGATGCATGCAGTCTTGTCTGAATAATTACGATCAAGAAATCGAATTGTGTGGTCATCACGCGCTGCTCTTTCCACACATAAAAATTGAATGCAGTAATGGGCGGACTCCACTTTTTTATCAAATCAAATCGAATGTGTCCAAACCATTTTCATCCTTTTAGAAAAACCTTTTACCTACTGACCGGGATAGCTAGGAAGAAAATGGCATGGACACATTCCAATCTGTAATCATGACGAGCAAAAATGGCAGTGACCTTTAAGCCAACAGCTGTCACAAATATTTCGGAATTATACATGCTCTTCCTTATGGACAATTTGTGATTATATTTTCTTCTAATCAACCACACATAAGCATTCATTGAAAAAAACAAACACTCGAAGGTTATCTACTCAGTTTCACTTGGATTCTCAAATGAAAATCACGATTGTTTCCTTTGTGCATAGCCAACAGCAATCTTCAACGCCTTTTGGAACCTCCAACCCAAACAATCTCACCATGATTTCATTCTGCTCCTCTGATTCTCCAAAAGCAACTCACGGATCTTGCAATCCTTTCGATGGCTCTACGGATATGTCCAAACATTTTAACGTGCATGCATTGCCAAACATTCGGATTCATACCAAGCATCTCTCATCGAGCAGCAAAAGGAAAGAGAAGTCTCTAAACGCAAGCTCTGTTCTCAATAGTGGAATTCGAAAGAAATCATCCTCTTCAAAGTGTTCAAACTTGAGTTTTTCCACACCACCAACTTTTGATTCTGTATTCCGTGTCAATTTGTACAACAATAGTCAACCACAAGAAATGATGAAGACCAGTGAAGGCATTGATTGTAATCCGAATCCTCACACGAACAAGTCATCACAAATGCCGAGCCCTCACTACCATCTTTTACAACCCTGTACTGTATGCATGTCTCATTCAAAAGATGCAAAGGCTAAGAAAATTAGAACCTCAATTTCTATTCAGGAGCTGCTAAACGCCTGAATTAAGGATGGTTGTAAATCTAGGCTCACCATACCAACCACAGACACGAATCATCATTTCTGGTCACTCTCACTACATGAGTCACTCGAAATTTCACAAATTAAAACTGGCAATAACAAGGTGCATTTATTAAATCCCCCTTCAACGGTTAATGTATCTTTGAAAAAGGAAACTGCTTCTTTAAAATATCAATGAGATAATAACACTGAAATTTGACTGGTGCTTGTCGTTTCTTCCTTTTGAGTCACCGACTCTTACATAAACGACGGTTGTGTGTTTAAAAAAGCCAAGCCAACAGCCGTCGCCCTTGACTCGCGTTTGTAACAAAGAATCCACAACAATTTGCAAATTGCCTTTTTTGTCTAGTCGACCTGGCACAAGTCACTATGGGACACACAATGGCCATTCTTGTTTGTATCAAACATCTTCTCTTTCTCCATTTCTGTCTTAATCGCAAAACCTTCCCAACAAAGACATTATTTAGTGAGTGTCTCTCCTCACAATATCATCCACAACATTGTTAAAACAAAAATTACAAAATGAAATTCAGTTACGTGACCTTTGTGCCAAACAAACAACAACAACAACAACAAAAGAAGGGAAAACGATCCAAACCTCTCTCCATGGTCTCTTACTTTACAGACACTGAAAGATTCTCCACTTCAAATCCATTCAATGGTTCTTTGGATTTGTCGCTCCATTTCAATGTGGAAACACAAGTACCATCTTCACGTCGGCATGTTCCTCCGCCCGTGCAAATTGTCATCCCAACTCCACCACAGCCATTAGTACCTCAGACAAATGCCCTACCACTTGTTCGTCCGGAACAACTTCAGCCAATTCCTCCTCGTCCAATTCCTGTTCGTGAACCAAACACCAATCAGCAAGTCGTTGATCACAATGATCACAATGGTAGTCATTGTAAATTGCAAACTGTGTTATGTCGACCTCTTCGAAAACCTCGTTATGCTCGTTCAAAGGATTTGTGTTATCGAGAAACAATGAGTCCAGTTTCCTCAAGCAAGTCTAAACAACAACAACAACACTTGACTCGATCCACTCGTTCAACCACCACTGGAAGGTCCTCACACACCATGATGACGAATCCATCCAGAGTAAGAACCACCACCATCTCTTCAACGACCGTCATGTCACCACCACCACAAAAGTATGATCGAGCACGTATGATTGCACCTGCCACTTTAAACGTCAATCATATCCCAACTGTACTCTCTCATTCTGGTTTACAACAAACATTTCTGGTTTCAAACAGTAATGGACAAAGAGAAATGAATCCAAATGAAGAAGAAACGTCCGCGGCCACTTTGTTGTCTCAACATTTGACTCTCACGAGGAAGGATGAACACGCACCAACAACTCCAAACTCTTGCAGTGGTTCTTTAGAGAATGCTGAGACAACAACAGTTCCAAGAAAAGTGAGAACGTCCATTTCTTTATTTGAGTTGTTGAATCCTGAGGATGATGAAAGTCTTTAATTTTGAAAGCTGGGAATTAATGTAAATAAACAACATTCATTTTGATCTTATTGCATTCTCCTTGTGAATCGAACACTGTTGAGGTAAAACTCCCTCAAGCACCACAATCGAACACCAGTGGCTCGTGATACTCTCTGCACAACGAACATCTCACATTATTCTCACACTATTTCGCACATACCTTCCTTAATCGACTCTACTGTTTTCGTAGCACACAGAGTATTCTTTTTTTTCCTTTTTTGTCAACACTTGCACGTTGTTGGCCATCCTTGAACCATTTATCATGATGAATAATAGACTGTCAGTTGGAATTGCTTCAAACCTATCACTGATTTCACTTATATACAACACCATCACCTAGAAACATACCAACGATGAAGAAACCATTAAATCTTGCATTGTATTATGTGCTTTGATCATGCCAATGCAATTGCCAAGCACATTGTTCAACAATAGGACAAGATGATCACAAGAATAAACTCTTCTCGGATCATATAACTTTGAAGTGGTTCACCAGTGGTCTTATGTTTTCTGTTATTACATTCATTTAGTCATTGACAATTTGTTTGTCGAATAGGTTGTATAAATCTTGTTCATTAACCCACTGCTCATGAATCCACACCTATACATCAGACAATACAAGTTTTCATATATTAAAGAAACCAAACTACCATCCAAACAAGATGAATTCAAGTCAATAGAACAAACAAAAGGACAATTCCAGCCAAAAACAATCATCGACAATTCTTACAACAAAGGACCTGCAATGACAGAGCTAGATTCTCTCCATTATTGACCCATCTCCACCCTTCTACTGAACGAATCAACAGGAAGAATTGTTGGAGATTGTTTGGATCTGAAACTCAACTTGAGGGAATGGTTGTCCTTAAAGATCTCGTTTTTAATATCTTCATAGGTCGACATTCATTTATCCAAATTGGATGAAATATTCAACAGAGATAACGTTCCCCAACCATTAATTCTCTTCTGCTTTTGGGGAATTCAAACCAATCGATCGTGGTTGGATGAACTGTTTCTTCATGACCTCGTTGAAGAGATCCCTCCCTTCCAACAACTACAATTCATCACATGGTCTCTCTCGCAAATCACTCACTCACAACGATGACGACGACGACAAGATTCACCTTGATCATTAAAATTGGAAACAATGACGAAAACAATTTCAGAGATTTTCATTCACGCTTCAACGGATAATGTATCTCTGAAAAAGGAAGCTGCTACTTTTTACTAACAAATTTCTGTATGAGACAATCCAATGAAATTTGACAATATGATTGTCGTCTCTTCCTTTTGTGTCACCCGTTCAATCATTATCGATTGTTTCATGTGCATTTAAATGCCAAGCAGATCACATTTTTCGCTCATTTATCGAAAAAAGTGCCCACAACCTTTTGCTAATTGCCTTTTTTGTCATCCATGCGAGCTTATGTCATTTTGATAACACTCAATGGCCTTATTCAATTCCATTCTTGTTTAGAGCATTGACCTTCTCGTTCTCCATTTCTGCGTTTATCGCCAAATTTCAAATAGTGAAGCAAGAGGTTGTCCATACGTCAACAACAACATTGTTAAAACAAAAAAATTGAAAGATGAAATTCAGTTACGTGACCTTTGTGCCAAACAAACAACAACAAAAGAAGGGAAAACGATCCAAACCTCTCTCCATGGTCTCTTACTTTACAGACACTGAAAGATTCTCCACTTCAAATCCATTCAATGGTTCTTTGGATTTATCTCTCCATTTCAATGTTGAAACGAAATTACATTCTTCTCGAAGACATGTTCCTCCTCCCGTTCAGATTGTCATTCCATCTCTTCCACAGTCACCTCTATCAGGATCGCCGCCACAATTTTCCAAACCATCGTTCAAACCAAATCATCCCTCTGAACCTCATCCTGGACCAATTCCTGTCCGTTCAACACAATCACAATGGGCATTAGATAAGGTTCCATGTGAAGGTTTGACTTCCAAAACAATTTCCTATGGATCTCCTCATCGAAAACCACGTTTTTCTCGTTCAAAGGATGTTATTTGTTTTCGAGAATCGATGAAACCCCCTTATGCAACAACAAACCTTTCCAACACAACGACAACATCCCCTCAAAAGTATGATCGGTCGCTCATGATTGCACCTTCCAGTGCTGTCAAAGTTGATCATTGTCCAACAGAAATGTCACCTTCTGGCATCCAAAAAGTGACTGTCGTTTCAAAAACTAAGGGACAAAGAAAAGAACGACCAATCGATGAAGAAACTCTTCAAAATGTCACTCTTCATTCTGGTGAACAAGTGCCTCCAAACACCTCATGCAACGGTTCTTCATCGAGTGATGAAACACCTGTGTTGTTTGCAGTGCCAAGGAAAGTGAGAACTTCGATTTCGTTATTCGAGTTGTTGAATCCTGTAGATGATAAAAGTCTTTAAGAGTTGTTTTTCCAAGCAACTATTAAAGTGTAACATCATAACTAACAGGTTTCATATTGCAACAGTTCAATTCTATTAATTCTATTGAATCATTCTGTTGAGAAGAGTTACCAAAGAAGAAATCCAACTGTATTGGAACACTGCTCACTGTTCCTCAAACATTTTCCTTAACCCAATAAATCTCGAGGGCTCTAAATGGTTTTGTTTAAAGACAATTCATTTGTTTTTTTCCTTTTTCTTTGGAGATTTGTTGTTTGATTTCGTAAATCCTAAACAACCATACATCGGTGGACTAAAGAGAGGAAGTTTGAATACTTTATAAAATTAGTATCATCATCATCATGTTGCATAGAAGCATCATCACCATGGAGTTGGACAAAAGCAGACGATCCAGTTCCATCCAGATGTTTAAAACTATCGGTCTGGCTCAACGCCTTGACCATGTCTAAGATCTGCAATTCCTTTGAAGTAGTAGTGTGTTAGTTGTGTTGGAGTTTTCGTTTGTTTCACATGATGATGTGAGTGGTTTATTGGTAGTTTTGATAATCCTTAAAGCTGACTGCACGATCATGATTAAGGAGATGTATCAAGGAAATATGGCTATCCATCAAATCAAGGGACATACCTCATCGAGAGTTGGTGAGATACGGTGTTGATGTTTGACTGGTCATGATTTTAAAAAGATCACTCGAGATGATGATGATCATTCATTACTCACTGAATAGGATGCATCTCTTGATTTGTTTGCTGATAGGAGATGAAGAAAAACCATTCATCCTTCAACAGATCCTTTTTTCAGAGAATGATTCTTTGAAAAAGGAAACTACCTCTTTTTTATTATAAATGAGATAGATAATCGTAATGAAATTTGAGTGGTGCTTGTTGTTTCTTCCTTTTGAGTCACGCAATCATTCATAATCGATTGTTTCATGTACTTTTAAATGACAATCTGCCCACACAATTTCACAACCTTCGGCCCTTCTCTCCCAAAATGAGATTGCCACCCTTTGTTAATTGCCTTTTTTTGTCAATCAATCAAAGGAACTTATCATCATTGCCATCCATTCAATGCCCCTTATATTTTTCCATTCTTGCTGTATTGACTTGCTCTTTCTCCTTTTCTGTGTGAATCGCAAAATGTCAAATGTTGAAACAGAATTTCAATTCAACAACATTGTTAAAACAAAAAAATTACAAAATGAAATTCAGTTATGTGACCTTTGTGCCAAACAAACAACAACAACAACAAAAGAAGGGAAAACGACCAAAACCTCTCACCATGGTCTCTTACTTTACAGACACTGAAAGATTCTCCACTTCAAATCCATTCAATGGTTCTTTGGATTTATCTCTCCATTTCAATGTTGAAACGAAATTACATTCTTCTCGAAGACATGTTCCTCCTCCCGTTCAGATTGTCATTCCATCTCTTCCACAGTCACCTTTATCTCCACAACCAACTCAACAACCTTCCAAACCAACAATCAAACCAAGTCATTCATCTGAACATTCTCAACCAATTCCTCCTCGTCCAATTCCAGTCCGTTCAACAGCAGCATCAAAATCACAATTCGTCAATAAGGTTCCATGTGAAGGTTTGACATCCAAAACAATTTCATATCAACCTCCTCATCGAAAACCACGTTTTGCTCATCCAAAGGATTTGTATGTAAAAGAAACCATGCAAATCAGTCAACTGCCAAGCATGTCTCAACGCTTGACTCCATCCACATTTACAACCACAACCACAACATCAACCATTCCATCTCCTCAAAAGTATGATCGATCACTCATGATTGCACCCGTCAGTGCTGTCAAAGTTGATCATTGTCCAACAGAAATGCCACCTTCTGGCATCCAAAAGATGACTGTCGTTTCAAAAACTAATAAGGGACAACGACAAGTTGATGAAGAAACTCTTCAAAATTTCACTCTTCAAACTCGTCATGAACAAACACTTTCCAACATGATGTCATGTAATTGTTCTTCATCGAGTGATGAAACGCCTGTTGCGATTCCTGTTCCAAGAAAAGTGAGAACTTCCATCTCCTTGTTCGAGTTGTTGAATCCTGAAGACAATGAAAGTCTTTAATTTCGAAATCTTGTTGACACTTGTTTTTTTCGCAAAGTATAACATCTAAAGAACATGATAAACTAAATGTTTCACATTATAACCTTCTGTGGAATCTTTCTTTAGAGTTCTTGTTTTATGTTAATTTGTTTTTCAAAAGTAAATCCACTTCAATCGACTTGCTACTCCCATGACACTCACTGTGTCCCATTCGCCTTTCTTGATAGGAGTGAATCATGAAATGGGTCCAATTAAAGTGATATCCTTGACATTCCAAGCTCTTTTATTCGAATGGGTGTTGATTATCCATATGAAAGAAGGAATGGACGCGCTTTAGGATAACTTCACACATTATATGAAATAAATCACATTTCGGTGAGATCCATGATTGCATCTACCATCTATCATCATCATCCATGAACTTAATGATGAACGACCCTCAAGTCTAACACTATCATTGAAGCTAGAGTTATTAGATCTTGAGGAAATGGATTTGGTTGTTACTTCTTTTCACGAGTCGAAAACTTTTACTCTTGAAAATCATTCATCTCCCAATATTCAACACGTGACAATTCCATACTGTCGGTGTTCACGTTCTTCATTTTGAGATCTCGAGTTTGATTCTTTCTGATGTTTCTGATCTCTCGTTTTGAGCTGATTCCCGCGAAAAAGAGAGACCACAAAACACGACTGTTAGTGAAAGTTTGTCATGATCTATAGAAACGAGAACATTATCCAATTTCGGAAACATCACATCTTGAATTGCTCGCGAGCTTTTTGTATATTCAGAGAAAATCAAATCATCTTTCAAAGTACATCGTATCTTCGAAAAAGGAAACCTCCTCTTTTTATTGTTGATGAGATAGTGACAATGACATATGACTGTTGTTGTTGTTTCTTCCTTTTGGGTCCAACTGACATACATATTGGCATGATTCATGTACATTTAAATGCCCAGAAGCGATTATCGCCCTTCATTTGTAAAAAGAATCCAATTTGTGAGTTGTATTGTGTCACAAAAGACCTGCACTTTCTCCCTTTTGGGGTTGATCGCCACACTTCAAATAGTTGAGCAAAATCACTCCATACATCAACAACAACATTGTTAAAACAAAAATTACAAAATGAAATTCAGTTATGTGACCTTTGTGCCAAACAAACAACAACAACAACAAAAGAAGGGAAAACGACCAAAACCTCTCACCATGGTCTCTTACTTTACAGACACTGAAAGATTCTCCACTTCAAATCCATTCAATGGTTCTTTGGATTTGTCACTTCACTTCAATGTTGAAACTGAGATACATTCTTCTCGGCGACATGTTCCTCCTCCCGTTCAGATTGTCATTCCATCTCCACCTCAACAACAACCTCCAAAACCAACTTTCAAACCAAATAGTCCTATTCAATTGACACAGCCAAGTCCTGTCGATTCACCAACACTAGAGAAGCCTCTGATTCAGTGTAGGGATTTGACATCTACAACAATTTCATATGGATCTCCTCATCGAAAACCTCGTTATGCTCATCCAAGGGACGTTTGTTTTCGAGAATCGATGCATAGGAGTCCACTTCCAGCTGGCATGGACAAACACTTGGTTTCATCCAAATATACATCAACAACCATAACTTCAACCATACCGTCACCTCAAAAGTATGATCGAGCACGAATGATTGCACCTGTCTCTTTAAAAGTCAATGAAATGCCCAATAGCATCATTGGTTCACGTCCTCTCTCACTTTCTGGTATCCACAAACCAATGGTTGTACCAAGAAAAGTGAGGACTTCTATTTCGTTATTCGAGTTGTTGAATCCTGAAGACGATGAATCAATGTAAAAAATTTATTACTCTAATTGCTAATTAATCTAAGTTAAATAAACATTGAAAAATAAAACATGTACATTTCATATCCATCGCCTCATTACATACACTCTTCTTCAATATATAAATACTGAGATTGTTACCGTTGTGATCAAACTGTAATCAAGACCCTATTACGATGGCAGTTATTAAGATCAAAGCGCTATTGACTGAATGGTATTTAATCAGACCAACAAGACCAGATTCCTTATACAAATTAAAAAAAAAGAAGAATAATTCAATTAGGATGCCCAGCAAGATCGGTAAAACAAGACCCAACCATGGATCCAATCATGGACCCAAGCACTCTAGCTCACTTCAATCATTAAGCGACTACATTGCTTCTGCTAGTTCATCTGTAGATAATGAGCCCAATTTGACAAATAATCTCAACCCCACTCACAATTGCTCTACTAGTGTTGACACTAGATTGTACCCAACTATTGATCCAATAGCTGATGAAAAATTGGCCGCTAAAACTAATAGTATGAGCATGAATAACCAAGACAACATTGAATTGTTGGATAATGAGCTGACCAATAACCTCAACATACAAGACATGTCAGTTGATGAAATTGTTGGTAAAACTTTTCTCAAACACAATAATGCTAAACTAGATACAAACAGAACTCTTCTTGACACTGATCAGATTTTAGAAATTGTATCTGTTATTGCTAGCCCACACAACCCTATGACCTTAAATTTCCAACATGTTGTAAAAGCCACTCTCAGAATACTCTCTGATGACATTAAATACGAAATCACCACAGAAAGAAAGGCTTTTAAAAACCATAAGGACAGAAAACATGTTTGGGAGTTATGGAAGGAAAGAATGAAGAATATTAACAAACTATTATCTGAGAACAAGTAAAGTAGTAATGTCCAACAAGACAATGAAGAATTCAACATCAATGACATAGCAGTGAAGGAAATCACTCCTACCAGATATATTGCTGTTAGATATAGCAAAATATTTGAAGAGAATGAGGTAATTGAATTAATTAAGGTCAACCTTAGTGGCAAATATATCACCATCAATCCGATTATTAAGCTCAATAATACCATAATTGTCACTATTGAAGATTGCGCTCAAGTAGAACAGGCTGTTGAAACATTACGTACAAAATTTAAAGAAGTCAATATCACTTCATCATGTGAAAACGACACCAACAAAATTATACGTGTCCATAATATTCCAATAGGAGAACTATGGAAAACTATAGTCAAGGCAGATTGGAGGAATGCAATTGAAAGCGATACTGGTGAACCCATTGTTGAAATTGCTACAGCTAGAATTGGTAAAGAAATGGCAGCAGTGATCACTGTCAAAAGTATGAAAGCCAGAAATAATCTATGTAAGGCAAAAACATATGATATCACTATTCCTAGAACAGAGGAAACAGTCACTATGAAAATCGACATACCATTCAACTATGCAATGGATGTGCAATACTCTGACATCATTGGTAGATGGCCTGAAAGAAATGATTTGATTAGAGCTAGAATACAAACGGAATCCTCTCTTGCCAGAAAATACAATAATGACCAACCTGTATCCATACTTATCATCAAGCAAGAGAAGAGAATATGTTTGATTAGACTCAACAATCTATCTAATGCCATCAGATTAGTAAACCATGCTGCATGAATGAATGGACATTGGATTTTGCTCTCAATTATCCAATGCTAGAAGATTTCCTGGAAAAGAAACCTGATACAGTTCACAAAATTTCACAAAATTTAGGCAGATCTTCTAAAATTGCAGCGAAAGACATTTCCTTTACTCTTGAAAAAGTGCAACAAGATCACCTAAAAGAAATCATGAGAATTGAAGCTTCTATGGATAAAAGAATTTCAGAACTTGAGGCAAGACAGAATCAGAAATTGGCTATGGGATTTAAGGAAATGGCTAATATTATCAGAGCAAATAATGAAGAATTAATGATTACCAATAGAATTGCTACTCTAACATTTCTGTCTGGTTGTACAAAAGATAATACCAAGAGGAAGATATATCAAGAGGAAATTGATGAGTGTCACAAAAAGCTAAAACTACTTGATTCACTTCAGTAGCTCCAGAATTATCTATTCTAACCCTCAACATTAATGGTCTCAGAGCAGAACCATTATCAGCCCTAAGAGGCTACCTCAACTCAATCACTCCTGATATAATCATGCTCCAGGAAGTTAAAAGCGTCTACATTGGTCCAGATTTTCCCCTCTATATATTATTCTTCATTTACATATTATCACAATCCAAGAGATTCCTGTGGTGTATCTATTTGCCTCAACAAAAGCACTTTCAAAGATATTGAAGAAATCATCTTAGATCCGATCATTAAGAATAACGCGCGAATTATTGGCGTGAAATGTAAAATCAATTCAATTAATACTCTAGTAATTTCTGCGTACTTTCCAAATCAACCAGCTGACAGATGTGAATTCGCATATATTCTTGACAACCTAATTGAAAAATATCCTAACTACAAAATCATTATTGGAGGTGATTACAATGCGATTTTATCCGAGAATCACTCCTCAAACGAATCTAGAAGAACTGATCAAAACATACTAGATCTTATTAACAAGAGAAATCTTAATTACTATCCTTTCCCTCATTTATCATGGCACCTTCATTATACTATTAACAAACAATCCAAGTCTATAATAGACTACATATCCACAGATTTTCCAATTGCATCTGGAGAAGTACTGAATGCCAACTTCATATCAGATCACAAAATGGTTAAAATTCTACTTGACCTCTCATGTCAACGAACACCTTTGTTAATTCGGAAGAAGCGTAACTTTCAAGATCCCAAAAATAAGAAAGAAGTGCTGGCCTTTAGCAAAGAATGTGTATCTCAAGTTAAGAATTTAGAATCTGATAACGACAAATGGCTTTTCATTTGTGATAAACTAGGCGACAAATTTGTGGAGGTCAATCCACCTAAACTTGATCCTAAAATTCACAAATATAATAAGCAATATAAGAAGCTCATGTTAATACTTGATAGAAATGAGCACGGATATCCTTGTGACAAACTTTTGACCGCTATTGGTAAAACTTTAGAACAGGTTCCAAAATGTCTTGCAAGTGTCAAAGAGAAAATCAAGAACCATATCAAATGGAGCCATGATAAGGCTTTGAACAGAAAGATGAAATGGTGGGAACAAAACTATGCAACCAACTCTAAACATCTGAGAAAGAAAATTTACAAAACGTCATCACCACCATACAAATTATCTATCGAAGGAACTGAAATTAGTGACCCCAATGAAGTTGCCAATATGATCAAGGACAAATATCAACAAAACCTCAACTTTAGAGGAAGAAATCATCAAATTGACATTACCAAGTTTTTCAAGTACAAACATTCATTAATTGATAATTGCAATGACAAAATACTCGATAGAATTACCACGGAAGAGAAAGAATGGATAATTCAGAATTTGAAATCCACAGCACCCAATGAACTAGGTTTAAGACAAAAAAACTATCAAATACATGTGTAAGGAATTACAGGAGGAAATTTTCAAATTATTGAAAATATCATTACAACTGGATTTACTCCTGAATCTATGCAAAGTGTCAGCATTCTCCCAATTCACAAAAAGAATAAGGACCACTCAAACCCTGCTAACTATAGACCTATTGCCCTTATGGACTCAGGACTTAAAATAGCTACTAAATTAATCACCAAAAGATTGAAGGAAGTGTTAAAGGGAAGATTATCATTAGCTCAATTTGGTGGTGAAGACGGCAGAGAAACTTTTCACAGAGTCCTTTCAATTTACAATATGATTGCTTGGGCAAAAAAAGGACAAGAAACCTTTTTATGGTTTGGCTGTTGACATCAAAAAAGCTTATGACTCATTACCGAGAATTATGCTTCGTGATGGACTGCTATTCTTAGGGATTGATGAAATTACTGCTGATGGAATTCTGGAAATATTAGGTGAATCTACGACAAAGTTTGTTATACCTAATGGTAAATCTGAATGTTTCAATGTGAAAGATGGATTGAAACAAGGCGACACCTTCTCTCCCCTTGCATTCAAAATTGCGCTTGAGCCTCTCTTACAATTTTTAGAAATAACATATAATGGTGCTAGTGTTGCAAATTATTGGAACATTAGTACAGGCGCATGGATTGATGATTTGAACTCATTTTCCAACGAACTACCTGAAATTGAAAATTCTTTGCATGACATTGAAACCTATCTTCATGGCTATCACATGGAATTAGATCATTCCAAAACTAACCTCTTCTCTGATAAGGAATGTAGTATCAAGACATTATCTGGAAGTACGATCAAAAGTAATGATTCTATTATTATACTTGGTAATAATATTACCAATAATACTGAGGAACAATACACTACTTCAATT